CTTTATATGTGAGAAGGAGGATTTTAAATTCTATTCTGGATTTAACAGGAAGCCAATGAAGAGAAGCCAGGATAGGAGAGATATGATCTCTCTTTTTCATTCTCAGCAGATGGCCGCTCACACTGAGCCTGGTTCTGCTGGAGGTTTCTTCCTTTAAAAAGGGAGTTTTTCCTCCCCACTGTCGTTACAAGCATGCTTAAGTTGAGGGATTGCTGAAGAGTCAATGAATCGATGCAACTGCTCTTAGGGAGCAGTGTGGGGTTAAGGATCTTGCTCAGGGACCCAGTGTGGAAGGCTGTGGGGATCGAGCCGGGTACTTGGAATCTTCTGTGCAGATATTGTGTTATGGTTTATATATTTTATGATTATTTTATCTTATTTGCTATCGGCCTTATAAATTACATCGCTGTTTTTCCCTTCCTCATGTCTTTTTCTTGCAAAACGACACATATTTTATCTAACTAAAGCATGAAAGCAACTATTTCTGGAATACTGAACCAATTGAAAAGAAAATACAATAAGAAAACAGTTTTATGTAATTTAGGTATTATCACACTGACCCTTCATGGTGGAGGGGATTCATCTTTTACACCAATTTCTCACAGAAGGAGTGCTTTTGCTCACTCCTCTTGAAAAATAATTTATCTTTTTCTACTGGCCACCATTCAATCAACCAGTTGAGTTTTAATGTCTGCATGAGAAATTGGGGATATGGAGAGAGTGCCTGTGAAGACACGCCCAGTGGGTGCAGCCCCGTATCTTAGTGCGTGCACTTAGTGAGGGGTCATTGATGATGTCACGGGTTCGGGACACGCAGCGCTGGGATTAAATGTCTTTAATGGAGGGAAGAGGAGCCCCGATATATGATGCCAATTCACAACAAGTCAGCTAATTTCATTTCAAAGAGACAATTCAATCAGATCATACAGTGATTCTGCAGAAGCCAACTGATTCCACTCAGTCAGTTTCACCATTAGACACCACAGTAACTTTTAATTACTTATGGTTTGAAACATTTTGCAGCTTGTTGCTTTTGGCTCCTGTTGTGTGTTGTTTCACCACAGCTTTACATATCTTGATACTATATTTATCCATAAGATGTAATCAATCATATTTTAAATTACTGTTCTCCAACAAACCTCTAAAGGTCTTTATAGAATACTTGTCTCCTTGAACCCCAGTGGGCCTCAGCAGATGGCCGCTCACACTGAGCCTGGTTCTGCTGGAGGTTTCTTCCTGTTCAAAGGGGAGTTTTTCCTCTCCACTGTCGCTACAAGCATGCTTAGTGTGAGGGATTGCTGAAGAGTCAATGAGTCAATGCAATTGCATCGACAGATAGAAAACTTTGAATCAATCTGACTGGATGATCTGGTTGATATGGATCTACAAAGTGGCCTGAGATGACATCATGTGAATTGGAGCTATAGAAATAGACTGAATAGAATTGACAGATTTGATTTTTACACTGGTGGTCTCTACATTTTAGCTAGCTTACTTTTAAAGGCTTTTTTTCACACATTTATTACAGATACAATGCAATCCACATATGCAATGCTGTGCGTTACACAGTGTTACACAATTTGTGATTTCTGATCAAATGCAAAGACAGTGGTGCAGTTTACTGTTATAATATGTGTAAAAATGTCAAGTGAATACATTTTTTTGTACTTTTCTCTGTCAATTCTTACCCCATGGGATGGATATGTCAGCCAGCCCCAGTCTCCTGTTATTGTTGTTGTGTCAAGGAGATTCACTGCAAAAAAAAAAAACAAGAACAAAGGACATGAGCAACAAACTTAGAATCTTAGGTTTTCCTACTTGTCTCTTTCTGTCCTGTACCTGAACAGCTTCAGTCACCGGATGGATTAGGGTGCAAACGCACTGACACCTGCCTGGATGGAATGACTAATAAACATGGTTTGAAACCATGTCTGGGTCAAGTGTCGCCTTGACCTGCTTTTCCCCTTTAGACAGAGAACATTAGCCGAGGAATTTAGGAAAAACAGACAGTAATAACTAGGGTTAAAATGTTAAGGAAAAAAATAACGTAAAGATTCTTTAGGACCCAACTGGAGGCCACCTGGGCAATAAAAAAGCTGTTTATTTAAATAGCTTTGCTTATCTTACTCTGATACCAGCAATGCTTTTTAAGAGGCTTCATGTGTAAAAACAGCATTATTTGTAAAATTATTTTACAACTTTCTACATTATTTCTGTATTGTCTGTGCACTGCATGGACAAAATGATAACAGATGTCCCAAAAAAAATCACCCAACATTTTCAAGAGAGTCTGTCTGTAGACATGCACTGCCAGGACCCAGACCTGTCAGGACCAAGACGATCCAAATACATAGACTTATTTCTATATAGCACATATCTATTATTCCAGATAATTCCTGGCCTCATCAAAGACAACAACGACCTGGACTACAGAGAGGAGG